TTTCTAGCCAGGATAAACCTAAAATAACTGGATTGAACAGGGATTTAATTATGTTAAAAGCTATGTAGCTATCATGACCGTCTATTGTTACTTTTATAGGATGAGTTTCATGAGTGACATCTCCAGAAGACAAGGGACGACCATCTATGACTTCTACATGTACTGGTTTAGGTTTCTGTATAAAAAGTATTTTACGACTTTTAACAAATTGTTCATCTAAAAAACATGCTGAGGCTCCTGAATCTAATAAAGCAGAGGCTTTGTAATTCTTAGGTCCTAAATATAAGTCTATTATAAAACAAGGAGAGGGTTCTGAGGAGAGGATAGGACCTTCATTAGGAATTGTACAAGGTTCCAGCTGCACGGTCCCTATTGTAGCTGGACGAATCCGTTTTCCGACATGTTGTCTTCTTTGACCGTCGTACCCCTCATTTTATAGTTGCGTCGTTTCTTTGGACAATGTTGAGCAGTGTGCTTAGGTTCTTCACAATATAAACATAATCCTTCTTGACGACGACGAATCTTTTCTTGCTCAGTTAGAGGTTTAAAACGTACCGCGTCAATTTGCATGTCTTCTACTTCTGAATGTACGTTTGGCAAAGATGTTGATGTTGCCATTGAGTAATAACGTTGAGGTTCCCGTGAATGATTCTCGGATCGAAATTCGAAAAGTCGATTATCACATTTTACCGCAAAATCGATTGCTTGACTCAAAGTTTGAGGATCAGGTAAGTTGAGCATCAATTTCTTTACTTCGTATTGCAATCCATAAAGAAATTGACTGATGAGTGCAGCATCATCCCACTTGATGTCAATTGCAAGTTGTCGAAATTATGAAGCATATACTGTTACTGAGCGATTTTCTTGTCGCAGAATTTGGATCTTATTTGTTGCAACACGAGTTGCATCGTGTTTACCATACATAGATCAAAACTCCGCCAAAAAAGCTTCCAAATTGTCCAATATTGGATTTCGTTGTTCAAGAAAAGACAAAAACCACGATAATGCAGAACCAGAAAGTAGAGTGCCAATAAACCTGACTTGTGATCCTGGAGTTGGATAGCTTTGCGGTTGAAGTTCAATTGCCAATTGTACTTGATTGATGAACCCTCGAAACTTTGATCTCGTACCATCAAATTTCTCAGATAAGGCAATTCTTGGTTCTGTAGTGCTTATAGGGTGTTGTACATTTGGAGAAGGAACGTGATTTGTTGTAGATGTTGAAGCAGCTCCGATCATCTCAATATCTCCACTTTCTGCTATTCTTGTTCTTTCCTGTGTTGGTGAATTGAGTTGATGCATCGCAAGCATTAACTCCCTCATTTGCTCTTGCATTTGTGCCATTGCACTCTTCATTTCAACAAGCTCTGCCATAATGACACTAAGAAGAAAATTTATTTTGATACTGCTCAAGACAAAAGAAAAGAAAGACTTGATAACAAAGAAGATACTAAGAACAATATCAGTTTAGAAGTGGGTAATCCGCAAACTTCTAATACGCTTATGTCTTGTCAAGAGAAAGGGGTAATCCACTCTTACTCAAGAAAAAACAAAGCTCTGATATTGTAAGTGCACTCTTGTCAATCTGTCAAGGACAAAGACTCGATGAGGGAAAATATACACCAAAAGGCTACCTCGATATAATAAGTCAAAATATAAACAAGTAGGTATATTAAAAGGAAACTAGAATGGCTATTACCACAAGACAAGAAACTAAAGACTCTTGAATCTGGACTAGAAGCAAGAAAGGAGTTGACAAGAGTGAAGAAGCCTTCACTCTTGTCTCTATATATACTATCTAACTAGGGGCTACGTGGCGACGTTCTATAGGACCTCCAATATGTGTTGACTTTGTAGGACACATGCCTTGACTTACAAGGCAAGTTTTTCTACGTGTGGGCCACATAGTTAGCTTGATCTTCAAGCTAACAACATGTGTGGCACATGGCCAACTTGTTGACCACGTTTCTAATCCAAAAAGTCAATTAAAGACACCTATGAAGTTAAAGCAGCGTCTAGGAAGTTTCTAGGAAGCTTCTATATTAAATATTATAGAATTAATTTACTTTTATCTACTTTTACTTACTTCTACCTATTTCTATATGTAATTATTAGCTTACATGATTATGGCCGTGACACCTACTTCCAACTTGGTGGAAAAATACTTCTTGTAGTTTGTTAAGATATTTTTTTGAATGTGCCATATGCAAAGTAAGACATTAGCAGTAGGAATAATATTTTCAATAGCATATATTAATGTCAAATCTAAATCATATCCAATGCAGTTGAATTGGATATTTCTATACAATTAAATAAGTTGACTCAAGATCTAATAAAAAAACAATTTTGTTTCTTCTTAGAAAAAAAATAATAATAATTATAAAAGGTATATTGCAACTAATTATTTCTACTACATACAACATATGCATCTTAAATCAAGTTGTTTTATATGTATAATTTATAAAAATAGAAGAAAAATATTTCTTTGCTAATTCAACGCATTTAGCATGTGTAAAAAAATATTTATATTGTTATTGTCATTACATTAATAAGCAAAGTGATACACATTGTCATACATAGTTTCCACAAGTGAAATAACAAGAACATGAACATCAAAAGAAATTCAATGCAATCATTGGCATTCATTATAAATAATATATATAATAACTTGAATTTTATGATTTCTCTAATATATAGAAATCATAATATTTTTTGATAGTATTCTTGCTGCAAGCATCCAAGCTATCATTTCCTTCTCTACTAGTTAGAGTTGTCATAAAATCAAAAAATCTTATAAGAGATGTTGATGGACCATAGTTATGTTCACCATTTTGTATTGTCAAGTGCCATTATGTAATATCTTAGATACATTGTGCATACAATGCAAATAGAAATCCAACTAATTAGCCTGCAATATTTTATTAACAAATGAGATTTTTTTACTCAATATAAACTTATCATTTGTTATAATTAAAATCAATGGAATTTGCAAGTGACAATCTCATTTGTAAATGACATAACTTTAAATATAAGCAAACTCATCTATACTTTCTTTCATATCTTCAAAAGAATCAAAAATCTTCTTTGGTAGAAGAGATATATACAACACAATATCTGTTACAAAATCCAAATAACCTAAGAGTAAACCTTTCTTTGTCTCTCTTTCTCTAAAAATTGGACACAATACCAAAGATATTACAACAATATAAAACAAAGTTAGCAACAAACCAGCTTAGTACCTGAAAAGATATACTTTTGACAATGTTGAGTAAAGGAAAGAGAGTGTTAATTCTAGCCATTGATAGTTAGTCATTGTTACCAATAATATGACCATCATTGTATCAATTCTGTTTTTAAAAAACCACTATTATATAGATCCAAATACAGATCATAGTAATGATAATACACACAAGGCTGACATTTTGTGTGCTTTGTAATAATGGATGGATCAATTTACTAAAACCTACGAATATTTTTATATTTCTTCTATATATATATATATATATTCACAATCAATTATGACAATAAATATGTAATGATCTCAAATACAATGATTTTGATCTTTACACTGACCATGTATAACTAGTATCCATGTTTTTTACAAAAATACTGATATGCACATTTTTTGAAATGATAAATCTCAAAGTTCTACTAACATCAATGTTTCTGTTATGATTCATCATGATTCTTCTAAACTAAATATCTTCTGTTGTTTTATTCATTTATTTGTTTTGTTTAATTTCTGTGCTTGGGTTGAACTAAACCAAAAGAACATGAAGCTAGAGTTATCGAGCTGTGATGATGATCATAATAATTTCAAATATGTAATCAAATTAAATTCATATGTAATCAAATTCCAAAAGCCCAACACACATCTTGCCTACTGTTTCAAAAGCTCACCTCATTCACAGATTCAGAAAAAATAAAAAGAAAAAGAAAAAAGAAAAGGTGACTCCGAGAGCCATTGGATCTGACTTCCCCAAACATCCATCTATCCATCCACGCCTCTCATTTTCCACAAGAAAACAAGCGAATGCTGCACATAAAACCCCCCTCCCCCCCCCCCCCCCAAATAGAAACGCAAATAGAAAACTTCCAAAACCACAAGAGTTGCTATTTACAGAGAGAACTTGAAAAAAGCACTCGATCCAATCCAAAAGGTGAATTGCCCTTACGAAAGCGAGTTGATCGATAAAAGGAAAGTTTTGATTTTTCACACGGTATACGAGCATGTATTTTAAATATTCGAGCGGGTATGGGTCGGGGAGTCCCCATAGCGTGGGTCTCTGATCGAGGCAGCACATTGCACGCGGCGTTTTACTGCAGCAGGCAGGGGAGGCACACCACTGCTCCACTTTGGGCGTGTGAAGGTCAAACGCCGCTTTGAAAGGTCGGCGAGATGACTGCGAAAGGGACCAGCCCTAGGACACACAGACAGACACGGAGCGAGTGAGTGGGGGTGGGTGGCATGCGGCTTTCGTCGTCGTAGAGGGAGAGCGAGAGTGAGAGATTGGGCACCAATCCCTGAACTGCAGGAGTCCAACAGTACCAGCCCGCACTGCGAGTTCCGCACCTCGTCTCACTCACATGCTGAGTGCCAAGAGCAGTGCCAGTCTATTCTGGGATGCAGGCGATTCATCTCATTGGCGCTGCCTGGGAGCCTTCCACAACATCCCCCCTAGAATGTTGCGCCTCGCCGCAACATGCCAAACCTCGCACTTGCCACTCCCTACGTGCGGCCAAAATTAAGCTGGCACGGGTATTGAATACTGTCGAAGGCATGGTTTCGTTCCGAAGACCCGGAGCTCCTGCGCTTGCATCGTGTGAAACCAGATTCCGGGGCGTTATTGCTAACCCCTGGGGTGAAAACAAACACATTTTGAGGGCCTGTTTTCATCCCACTCAAAGCGCGTGGTCAATCATGCATTGACCTGGGGCCATTCGTTATTAAGTAAGACGGCAATGCTACAGCATTGTTTTCTTGGTTCCATTCGATATGGTGACGGGATGCATTCGGTGTGTCTCATTGTATTAGAATATGGGTGGATCACTGGGAATTAGGAACATTCGTCGGACAATTATCGGAAGATGGTGACCTGATCGATTGTTCTGTCGCGCTTATTCTCGCCGTTTTATACATTCTCGACATCGACGACAACAATCTACGCTTCGAGAAGTTATCTGTTTTTGTTTATCTTTTTCTGGAAGGTGTCGATTTGCGGCAGTCGTCGTTTGCAAGGTTGTGAAAGCGAGTGCTGGATGATTGACGTTTACTATTCATTAAACGTGGTGAAACCACTGCAGCGTGGCCTGGACGAAACGTACTGGCAACGGAAGTTTATTTGGTTGCTTAGATGGCATAAGCACGTGCAGACCAGAAGCAATTCGATTGCTAAAATTGTTGAAACAGCTGAGTCCTGATTTGGAAGCAATATGGTGGCATTCGATCCAAGATAGCGCGAAGGAACAGACATCCAGACGGTCATGAAAGGACATTATCCTGTAATGATCGGCTGTATCACGTGTAACAACCGGCTCGGGATCGATCAGAATGGGATTGATTCGAACTCTGAATGATTGCGATAGATCGTCAACATCGGAATTTAACACACATCACGGGAATGGCATATATGACATGATCTCTGCCGTTTGCCCATGTATTATTATAGAGCACTCGCGGCAAAATCTTCGAACAAAGAGGGTAAAAATCGATGCAGCGTTTAACTAGGGATAATTTTTTAGCAGTCGAGCCATTACCACTTGGTGGATCTGCCACCACGTAAACACGGGAAGAAATTGGATTCTAAGCTTTCAGGGTGGGTCAAGTCGGGAGGAGACTTTCCAGTTGCGATAGTTTCCCAGTGGCCAGTAGGTACACTGACTTTGGTTGCACTTAAGTCCCAGGCACTGGATTCATCGCTTGCATCGGCGCTTGGTGGCGCAGCTGGTAGCATTTAATGATGTTTTTGCTGGTATTTGATTCGTTTGATGAAGCGGCTTTTTGTCTGATTCCCAGTTGCGGGACTTGGCTGCTGTTTGCCACTTTTCGGGTCATAGGTACACCTGGGGCTTTTCTGTTGGGCAACGTCGCCCCTTGCTTTTCGGCAATGTGGCGCTAAGTTCGCAAGTGATAGCCAAGTCCCGGGTGAGATTCGGCACTCTGGTGGGCGGTGGTCGTGGTCGTGGACGAAAATTCGATTCAATTTGATGTCGGGATAAAGAACTGCTAGGTTTTATTCGTCTCTTTCGGTGTGTTTTTTCTAGCGAATTCATCAGCTCGATAATGTTGGGAGCTGTTAGATCGGCCATGGTTGTGTATTCAACAGTGTGAGTAGCGGATAGGCGGGGGATGATGAATTTTGAGTGGAGTGTAGGGCTGGGGAAGATGGACCATCAGTGTTTTACAGTACCTGTGGTGGCAAGAGGGCAGTTGGGATCAGCATACGTTGAGTTTCCTCTTGAATCTGGAATGCACTCGCTGGATACTTGCAATCCGATTCCTTCGCATGAGATTGGTCTCAAGTTCACGTCCGAACTCATTTTGAAAAGCTATGGTAGAGACTGCGCCAGGAAGTGGGATATGGTTGCACTTTGATACGAAACCTACTTTAAAGCCTCAGGATTCAGACCACACCACCAAAATTTACGAATTTGCAGGCGAAAGGAGATCTATACCAGGAATGGCCTTACAAAGACTGAAGCTAGTTGCTAGGAGGGATTGTTTTTCTTAAGTGACTTCAAAGACGGATTTGCAATTCGTTGCTGAGATTTGAGGTGAAATCTCTACGCTAATGCTTAAGTTTCATTATCATAGTCTAGTGCCCTACGTGACCGAGAAAGATCTGCATTACGTTCTGTCTGAGTTATTATCTCCTATCGTACAGATTTTGGGAGCGAGGGAGATTTCGTAGAGAGTACAAGGTTTGAGAGCTCGGTTTGTGATGGAGAGAGAGCTGATCGACAGGAGGCGGTGGCCGTGGAAAAGTCGCAAGAACTTTAATGGCCTCAGTACCGGTAGCGCTGATAGCGCATCGTCGCCTGCTCCCGTCAAGCTTTTCGATGAACAGGTCTGCATTGCTCACTATTCTCTCAAGTGAACCACTTCCAATGTCTGCGTGGTTGTGCGCATCCTTGTGTTCATAGACGCACTTGGAGATAGGTTGAATATTGAATTTTTACTCTTGTGATGGTGACAGGAAGTGGCAAGGATACTTCAAGACCAGGTCCGAACTGCGGATGACCAACTGGTGGAGGCTCTACAAGCAGCCGAAGCTAAATACTCACAGAGAGAAAAGGCGCTGAACCTCAAGATTGCAGCTGGAAACGAGAAGCTCACGTCCGCCCTTGCAGAGATCACCATTAAAGATAACTTAGTCAAGCAACATATAAAAGTTGCCGAAGAAGCTGTCGTTGGTAAGCATGATGTTTGGGGGAACCAGCAATCGTTGCGGGTTGTGGCCTTTGCTCTTGCACAAGTGGAACCGGTCAAATGCTAAAATGTAATCCAAGAAGCGCTTTAATTAGGTTTCTGTTACAGGTTGGGAGAAAGCAGAGACGGAGGCGGCAGAGTATAAGGCGGAACTCGAAGATACCTTACAAAAACGACGGGAAACGGAGGAACACGCCAAGCATCTTGATGGCGCCTTGAAAGAGCTCATGCAGCAGCTTCATTGCGGACGTGAGGAGCATGAGAAGCAGCTGCACCAAACAATTGTGAAAAAAACCCGAGATTTTGACAAAGTGAGACTAGAGATGGAGGCCAAATTGGCAGAAGCGTCCAAATCTTTGTCTGACAATCGAACGCACATGATTGAACTAAAAGCCGAAAATGAGGCCATTAACCATGCTCTACAGGTATTCTCGTCGTTTGGTAGTAGAGCTCTTCGGCACCTTATCGAATCTTCTGTTCTGTAGGTATGAAATGAACAGTCTTTGTCGTTATCGTGCAGATTTCTGATAAACTTGCGACGGTTTACAGGATCGTTCTAGGATGATCGCAGAACTGAATGACATAAGAGCTCACGTAGAGTCTGAAATCAAAATTCTTCGGGTATGTGTTTCTTTATTTCCCTCGTCCAGCCTATTCGCTCTTGCCCTCTTCTGGGAGATACTCAGATTGACGTTAACTTTCGGATTTCTTTCTTCTTGTTTTCTGTGTCTTCTTTTGTTTGGTTGTTCTTTATTTTAATTTTAAGTGGGTCCTAGTAGAAGTGAACGTCAGAATTTGTGGAAGCAGGTGCGGTTTGATGGGCTGGAGAAAGAAAATTTTGATCTCAAGTACAAGCTTCACACTGTCACCAAGGAGCTTGAGATAAGATCGGCGGAGCTTGAATATGGGAAGAAAGCCTCGGATGTGATGTCCCGGCATCATGCAGATAGCCTCAAAAAGATTGCCAGGCTTGAGGATGAGTGTAATCGTCTCCGCATGATGGTCCGCAAGAAGCTACCAAGTATGACCACGACTGTATGCTCTCATTTCTTTAAAGTCGCTCTGAGCTTTGATTTATAGCCTGAGAATGTGTAAGGTTTCTAATTCAAGCCCTTTTGTCACAGATCCTGCAGCTATTGTGCGCATGAAGCAGGAACTAGATTCTCTGGCGAAGGAAGCAGGAGAATCTGCGACGCCAAGGCATCGCCGCCGCCAAAGCATGCTCCGAAGTCAGAGTGGGGGAGTGGAATTTTTGCCAATACATGAACTGGTGGTTGTGGATGAGGCTCAGGACCTCCAAGAGGCGAATGCGGAGCGAATCGCAAACATGGATGAGGAAACGCGAATGTTGAAAGAAGCTTTGGCTAAACGGAACGACGAATTGCAATCTGCTCGTCTCATGTGTGCCAGAACTGCAAGTCGTTTGACTGCTGTGGAGGACGAGCTGGAAGCCTTAAAAGCAGGTCTGCATTTAACCACTTCGTCTGACGCCACAAAATTTTGCAATGACCCATTCAAGCTGTTTCTGCCAGTTTCCACCATTGCTTAATGGAATTTTCTGGTATGATGTGGGTATCTTTGAACAGCATCTGCAGAGTCGGTATACATTTCCAGAGAGAACAGCATCTCAAAAGAGACACCCAGTGTGTCTTCATCATCATCATCATCATCGCTGCCTGTTTCTGAGTCAATATCGAAAAGAGTTCCTTGGAGGGATGGCGTGCCCAAGCTCGATCCCTCGAAAAACTCCGTTGAAATGGAACCCTTTGCACATTCTCGCTCGTACTCCGAACCACGACTTGGTTTTAAATCATTTGTCCATGAGCTTGCCGTTGAAAACAGTTCTGGAATTTCCCCGCAGCAGCAGCATATTGCAGACCTAGAAAAGGCTTTAGCAGCCAATTATAGAGACTTTCAGGCGGCAAATCGAACTTGTGAAGAATTGAGAGCGCAGCTTTCTTCTACCGAGAAACAATTCGCTGCTTTACAAGCCCGAAATGCAGCAAATGAGCAGTCCGTCATTGTCTTACAAGACAGGTTGGACAAATTGCTGGAGAGTCAGGTAACGGCAGAAAAGTATCAAACGAACTCGGCAGATGCTGCATCCCCCGAGGTACATTTGTCTCCTTGCTTAAGAGTCGACCGGTTTTTGAGGTTGCCATACATTATTACTAACCTCATAACAACCCCTAAGATTTGTTGCAACGCGTTTGGGATTTTTGTTTGGAGGTGTGTGGGGTTGCACGCGTACTTATATTTCCTACTTCTGTCTGCTCTGTGCGTGTAGGCAAGCATATCTCAGTTTCAAATGGAATTTGCGACAACAGCTAAGTGCGTGATCCAAGCCACCGAGGCTCTTGTCCGAGCTTTAGAAATTCATAATGTTTCCGCGGCAGAAGCAGAGGGTGCATTCGCCTTCGAGCCAATCGTTATGCCTATCCATTGGAAAGAATCTAAATTGGATAGTTCCATGAGTAGTTCATCGCTGGCCGCTAACAAGCTCCAAGAGAGGGAGAGTGACGTTCACTCTGTACTCAGCTTCATGTCGAAGCTCTCATCCAACCTTACTTGCATTGCTGAGCTTTCCACTCTTGTTATCAAGGATCTGAGAAAAGATAGTGAAGCAGTGCGTCTGTGTCTAGATTCAGCCAACGCGCAAATATTTCAATTACAGGAGATTACAGGTAAGAGTCAGGAGGACCGAGTTGCATCAGAGATCCAGGTGGAGGTGGAATTAAACCGGATCTCTGACCTGGAGAGAATGGTCTCGCAACTACAGACAGAAAAAGCTGAAGCTCTTCGCCAAGTCTCAGACGTGGTGACTCAGCTTCGTGAAGCCAAGGAGAAGGTAGATGCTTTAAGTGATCAATTGAAAGAAGCTGAAGTTCTAATTGCGTCGCTACGGCTTCAGACCGACCACCAGAAGCAGGAAGACGAGTTAATTGAGGAAGAATTGTTGGAGCTATCGTCCTCGCATCCTGGTCTTGCGAAGATGTGTGCCGCAGATGCTGAAATGAACGGACTTCATTCTAAATTGGCATCATTGGAAGTTGAGTTGCTTGGGGAGCGTCGACGGCACCACGATTTTATTGCAAAGCTGGAGGATCTGCAACAACAGATCCATAGGTGCCCTGAATCCTTGTTCCAATAGCTTACTCGTATTCCACGGTTTGACAAAACGATGAACCAGATCACAGTTGAACTCTGAGTGCTGTTTGATACGTCACTTATACAAACGGGGGGACTGTGTAAACAGGGGCGTTGGACGGGTTTGTCCTTCGCGAAGCTTGCACAGTGATGAAATTTCAGAACCATTCTTGTCAGACGAGGCTGGCAGTAACGCTCGACAGGTAACCCTCAAACCTTCATGTGAGAATGTATTCAGACTAGCATCGATGCCTAGAATCAAACTGTCGTTGAAAATTACTGGCTTCAGTGAGCTCTCTTGACTGGACAGTCTCCTCGAGTGCCGGATGAAATTGTGTGTGCAAACACTCTCACAGTTCCGTATGTAGGTTTGTTTGTACTTAGTAAGCCCCGTGAAGATTGTGCATGAGCAGGAAAGGGAGATTGCAGCAGCTGCTCTAGCTGAATGCCAACGGACCATCTTGGCTTTGGGCAAGCAGTTGAAGATATTGGGGTTCTCAGAATCCCGCGAACTCACCGTCCGTGCAACAGACTCACCGGAATCCATTAAGAGAATGACGGAAACCATGGAGCTCCTCCGATGGCATGCAGAATCCGGCGACCAAGGCCCGCCCCAAATGAAGAAATCCTCAACTGCGGAGAGCATCGCAGATGGCCCTGTCTCTGTCCCTGCATCCCCTGCACGTTCAGATCATCTGGAAGCCCCTTCCACTCCCGAATCGCCTGCAACGTCAACATTGCGGCGCAGTGTTCGCACTACTCGTCCTTTCCAACTGCCCAAAATCCCTGGCACCAATTGCAATGGCGAGGTGATCTTGTCAAACGCAAACGAATCCGTGGAATCGTCAAAAACAGCTGCTACTTACACGCGATTTCATGCCCGATCGCCAAGTGAAAGCAGTCTCTCATCTGGCCACTCTAACGGCAACTAACCCAAAGAATTTAGCTGAATGTACATTGTACGATTAGTTTTTTGTTCACAATTGAATCCTCGGAGTTAGAGGTAGGCATGAAGGCATGTAGCAGAGTATAGTCTAAGGTGAAATAAAGACACTTAATTCTTCTTGTGCACAATTGACACGAAAACAATCAAACCAACCGTGAATTGTATTCACTTTGTAACTATCAAATTAAGTCCTGTGTACAGGTTGTCGAGGGATAGTACTCATCAAATCGTGCAAAGTTTTAAGCAAATTGGGATATGAACAATATGTACGTTTTATTCAAAGCCAAGACGGACAACCTATCCGCAGCAGAATTGTGTCAGTCAGAAATGCCGGTGTAAGATTTTGTCACAATAAAGAACAATTGTGATTGAAGACGTTGAAAGCACGGATTAAATAAGATTTTATAGTATAATTCAAAAATTGTTCTGAGATTTACCATCGTTGTCCGTAATAGTCTAGATGGTTAGGATAACTGGCTTTCACCCAGTCGACCCGGGTTCGAGTCCCGGTTACGGAGTATCTTTTGCTGTTTTGACAGTACTTGGAAGGACTATGTATATCTGGAGGGATGAGGAGAGAATCAAATTGAAGTGCGCGTTGCACTTAGAAGCAGTTTTGAAACATGTAAAATGTCGGATTAGACCTTGAACAGGCCATACAGCAGCATCAATCAATGCACATATGGCGGATCTCTCGTTCTTTACTGTGATTTCCTGTTTCAGAGACAAAGGAACAATACAGTGAGTATCCCAAGAGATCGATGGTTCCACTGCAGCAACTACAATAATTCAACTTGAGACTCCAACAGCGTGCCTATACGATTAAGGTGATGGAATTGATACTGGTTCATGTTAAGGGGATATTCGTTTCCTCTTGCCTTGTACATGGTTTGTTCACATGCCTTCAGACACAACACTGCTCTGTTCCTGAGTTATTTTTACTTCCGATGCTCGAAAACCATTTAGACCCCAACCCCCTTCATAGTAATGACACAGTTAAGGTCTCACCATTGGTCACAGTGGTTGGAAAGCCGTAGAGACCAGCATTGGCAGGGAATGGTGGTTTAAGTCGTGGTTTGTTTTGCTTTCCCTCAAGACTTTCCAAAGGAGTAGTATCTTCTCCGCAGATGTATGCACATGCTCCATGATGAATGAGCACATCAAGAGCATGACCTGAACCACACGCATTATTTCCAGGCAAACCTGAAAACAACAAATGTACACAAACAGGTTACTGCGGATAAAACTTTCCCCAACATTCCCCAGCTCCACCATCTAGAAACTACTAAAAGTAAGTAATTCAAAAAAGTTGCATACCACATAACCAACCGCTCCCCAACCACTGTAGGGTGGTCTCTACGTTGATTGCCTCTAGCAGCTTAATATTATTCTGATTTGTTGATTCACTCAAGAAACAACTAACGAAGCTTCACAATTGGCATTCTCCTGACTTAGGCACATGCCGAACCCAATTAAACAACAATGCGATCTCAAGAAAAAAACCAGATATCCCATTTGGAGAGCCTGCAATTTCAAAGCTGATTAATGAACCCAACATCAAGAAATCGTAATCACGTGCCTTCAAAACCCAAGACCTGTGCTCAACACAACAAGACTACCATTACTCAACTCCTTGTGAGAAATGCTGCAAGCTTTTTAATTGTGCCTCAAACAACGATCTAATGAGCTCTGGCGATCCTCGGCTGTAGCTTTCGCATGAAACACTCTAGTTAATATTTCTCAAGTCAAGTCTAGCTGAGTGAGACACAGAGAAAACGAAAAATGTCATGCCAATTGCCAGCCAAATATGTTCACAGGACCTAACCAAATTACCTTCCTGGTAACATTCATGAAGAGGTTTTTGCTGTTTGACATGATCTCCGCGGATATTAATAGTTCATTGCTGTGCAAGTATGTTTGTGATTAAACAACCAACAAGATTGCATTCAAAATTCAGCGTATCAGCAACTCAATTAATGTCCACATTCTTTGTATTCACTGAATTGGATCATGCATTTTTGAATCTACAAGTAACTGTTAAATTACTGACAGAATCAAAATTTAAACCTCACAGCAGCCTACTTGTACTTCTTTTTCTTTTTTCTATGGTTGTTAAAAATACATGGTAGAAAAAAATAACATCATGATGCTGTGAATATTAAACCTCAATGTCTTTATGTATTTAAAGAGAGAGATTCAAGGTCGAGGAAACGAAAATAGATTTTCAGGAACAGAAGGGGAATTGTAGGGCTTAGTTTGGTCACATATCCAAAATATCCAAATATTTATCCCACGAATATTTAAATATGGTATTAAATAGCGTAGCTTCCTCTCAGATAAAATTCCGGATCGTGGACCTATACCCGTTTTCCACGTCACCACATTCACATTGGACAGCTCAGCACAAACTGCCGATTCCATAGAACCTTCTCGATCCCCCCCTTCGTCCACAATTCCGGTGTGAACGAGGGCCAGATGAAGGGCCATCCTTTTCTACTAAAATGTCGGGTTTTACAGCTGTCAGCAAAGAGCGGGGCGATGGGGACAACAACCCGGTCAAGAAATCTCGGGCCATGTCCCCCGACTCCAGAATATCCCCGGGAAGCAGAACACACGTGTCAGCCTCATTAGAAAGAGTAGCTCTGTGGGCCATTCCATTCTAAAAGTCATCGCTGTTGGCCAAAAAATAGTAACTAACATTATTTATTTAAATAAGCAGTCACTTGGATGAAAGTATTGCTGCAAGTGGGCTTCCTTGCTGTGGCCATGTCATGGAGATTCGAACCAGGCAGTTGCCATTTAATTACAATACAAAGATTACCCTGCATCGCCTTTCTAATCCCTTTCCTGCAGCAGAAAAAAATGTTAAACCAAACCCTATTTATAGTTTGGGAAGCAACTGGGGCACGAATGAGTGTGGCTTACAAAACTTGCATCAGTGACATATTGATTAAGTGTTAAATAGTTTCATAAATATTCCTTGGCTCTGAGCTCCTTGGAAGTGGGTTCATTGGAAGTTCCCACTACATGCTGTTGACTTCATTTCATTTTTCAAATATATATGTATTCAGAGTTGTACCTGGAATCTGTTTTTTTGAAAACTGAGATTTCTTATTGTTGGCATTTGGCCACTGGTTCTTCTTACCTTTTCTTGACTTTTGTTTGTTTGTTTGCATGTGTGTCTGTATGTGTATGTTGAAATTTATGCATATAAAGTCCAACTTACGATTGAGCCATTTTGGCATGACATATTTTTTTTGTAAGAGTTCGATTGTCTTCATGTATATGTAGTAGTTGGTGTTTATTCTCTCTACTTTACATTTGTTTGATATGATTTAGTCATCATTATCAGTTTAGTTAGTTTATAATCATTACCATAGGGCAAATGTACATTGTAACTGAGATAATAAGTTCAAAAATTAAAATTTGAAAATATCATCAAAGGCAAAAGGGTCATTTCTATAGCATGTTAACACAAAGAGTTGGAAGTCGAAATTGTTGATAACTTTTGATAGTCAAATAAGATAGCAGCAATGAAAACAGTCTAAATAAACTCAATCATGTACTCAATGTTGCACTTACTTTATAAATGTATTTTTACTTAACAAAATATAACTTTCTACATAATATCCAGCTGAGTAACAATAAAACATATAATGAAAATATGCTTAACACTTTTTCATCAAAACCAATATATGTTTAACAAACAACTAATCGAACAACTAATGTAATGTTAACTTGTTGTGAAATTATTGGCAATTACCCTTCAAGAACATTGTTATTTTCAAAGATTACTATCTTACTGAATATTTTAAAAATAAAATCAAACAAAACACATCAATTGTTTTTATGAATTAATACGATCTTAAAAAGTGTTGGTTGACATACACAAAACAACATAAGTCTTTCTTTTAAGTTTGAATAAATAAACAATCAAACAAGCAAAAACAGATGTTTTAGGTAACACAATCAAATTGTATTATGTATCTAATGTTGAATACTGAAAAGAGGCCTGCAAAGAAAAATAAAAATGATTGTTTTGCTAGTAATTCACATGAAACAAAAAAAAATAAAAAAATAAAAAAAATAGAGTTGTCGCACTCTAAAATTGTAAACATTCAGCAAGAGATTCCTGTAAACTCAAACTTCCATGAACAAAGCCCAAAATAAACTCCCACAAGGAAACTCAGAAGCATCGATCCAGAGCCAGAAAAGGGTGGTGATGCCCCCGTGACCGGGTATTTCTTCTGCCCGCTTTCTGCTCATTCTAATTGACCCTGACCCCGGGCAGAAGAAGGGCGGGCAGTTAGTATGTGAGGAGGAAAGAAAGGAAGGGGGCTTTCCCACTCTATCCATTTGTAGCAGCCACCTCATCCAAGCAGTCCAGACGGACAGCGCCACGCTGCTGCTGACTTGGCAGGGTCTGTCTGATCCCTGGAATCCACAGGGTAGCCAACAGATTCCCCCGAAGAATCTCCCGGAACTTCGCCAGGAGGCTTCCGTGGATCGGATCGGGTGGGGTTGGGTGCTCTGTATGTTTGTTGGTTTGTGGCGCTTTCGGTCCAATGGGCGCCTCACATTGTCGTACCTGGAGCCTCGGATCGAGGGGAATCTTTCCAGTGGAGATTCTTCTATCTCGTAGAAATACTGATGACGGTACCTATCAGTATTACTCAAATATTATACTCCATTATTGTATTCAAATGTTACACTCAAATATTATATTCAAATTGTTATAATGCATGCATGCACACTGAATTTGTAGTGGCAAACAATGCACATAAGAGAAAAACTTTGTATATGCAAGAACTTTATTCTTTAAATTTCAAAAAAAAAAAAAATATATATATATATATATATATATATATATGTACAATTTTAATGGTGAAAATGCATCCATGTGAAGTAAATTGATACAAGTTATTTCCTCAACATTTAATGACTTCTAAGATGTTGATACATCAAACTTATCACATTACATCAGAATTTATTTTTTTTATTTAACTGTTTGTTTCCTCAATTAGTTTATTTATAGACCAGTGGTGATTTTGAAATTGAGTGAAAATTCATGAATAAATTGTAAGCATTATACAACCCATTGAATTTAGACATATTTCGAACAATTCACTCAAAAGGAGCTTCATTTTATGTATATGAAGAATGTTTATGTCCATAGAATTTGAA